AGGCTGTGTCATAAGCAGCGCTTTTGTTGGACCATAAAATGTGGCACAGCTTATCATGTTGGAGATGTCCGTGATGGAAAAAGACGTAGTGTGGCATTTATGGTGAGTCCCAATAGAGGAGTCACAATGCAGACCTCCTGGATAGTGCAGCAAGGTCATGCCAACTGCAGTGAAGGATTACATGACTTTCAAGAAACAGCTCCTAGCTTCTACTGGGCCCTGGTAGAGACACCAAGTGACCGTGGATTCAAAACTGGCTGTCATCAGCTACGTCCTGTTAAACACAGCAAGTGATAAAGTCATGCAGGGCCAGTATCAAAGCTATCATAGGATAAAAATGGTACATCTGGGAATGAACACAAGTGGGACGAGAGGGCAGACGTGCACACAAGCTGCATGAGCAATTAGGCCAGATTTCCACGTCACTCACTACCATTGCACCAGCACCCCTCCCCTGGTGTCACCTGTGGTCATGTGAGGGGGTCCCATACAACCAGCTAAAGGAGGAGGGAAAAAGACCAAGCTTGGGTTAAGGATGTGCCAGCTCAGTATGTTGGCCAGGCTTAGTGAGAGGCCCCTCCCCCACTGCTGCACGATGGGTTTCTGAACAAAGAGGCCATGGTGGCCAAGATGGAAGTGATGCAAAAACCTAACAGTGTAGATTGTCATTGGCCAAAATGAACATAGCTACTGCCTCCTCTGAATGTCCAATCTGTCAGCCATGAAGACCAGTGCTAAGCTCTAGTCCTTGAGGAGACCCATAGGCTACTTGGTGACCAGTAGACTGCATTGGGGCCCTTTTGTCCTGGCGGAACCAGTGGTTCTGGATTTGGGGTTGCCATTCCTCCCTACAGAGCCTCAGTAGTAACACTTCCTTTCTTTCTCTCTTTCTCTCTTTCTTTCTTTCTTTCTTTCTTTCTTTTTTTTTTGAGATGGAGTTTCACCCTTGTTGCCCAGGCTGGCGTGCAATGGTGTGGTCTCAGCTCACTGCAATCTCTGCCTTCTAGGTTCAAGCGGTTCTCCTGCAGACATGCACCGCCACTTGCGTTTTTAGTAGAGACAGGTTTTTACCATATTGGTCAGGCTGATCAAGTGATCAACTTCTGAAGTCAAGTGATCCACCCACCTCGGCCTCCCAAAGTGCTGGGATTACAGGTGTGAGTCACCGCACCTGGCCAGTAGCAGCACTTCCTAGTCTTAAAGATTGCCCGATCCACAGACATGGAATCACACTTAATATAGCATTGTACCAGATGAATCTTTTCATGGCACAGAAAGTGGAGGGAATGAAACCATGAACATGGCATCCATGGTCCTATCATACTCTTCACCAGTAACTATAAGATAAAGAATTGGAATGGCCAGTTTAAGATGGAGTCAAAGCACCAGCATGGAGGTGATACCCTACAATGATTATATAGCCTCCAGGACATCATGGTCTATGCCTTGAATCAGTCAAGTTAATATGGTGCTGTGTCCATACATGAGTACGGAAAGAACGGGTAAGCCTGAGTGGCCCTACTTATTAAAATCTCAATGACCCACGGTAATTTCCTCTCCCTGCAACCCTGGGCTCTGCAGAGTCCTGGTTCCCAAAAGGGGCACACTCTTGCCTGGAGATGCAGCAGAGATCCCACTGGACTACAGCGATGGGTTTCACCAGCTACTTTGGCCTCCTAATGGAGAGAGACTAGGAAGTGAGAAAGGGAATGGCCATCTTATCCGAGGTAACTGATCAGCAGGTTAGCAGGAGGAAGGGCTGCTGCTACACAGTGTGGGTAGGTGGAATATGTGTGGAATTCTGGTGACCTATTTGGGTGTCTCTTGGTAATCCTTTGCCCAGCTGAGCCTGAGATGTGCTCAGACCGCTTACAAATAGGGCATCCAACCAGGTTAAGCTACTGAGAGCAGCTGAAGTGGTGGCTAAGTGGTGGAGGGATATGATGAAGACCAGAGGGCCAGTTGTGGCCTTAAGACCAACTGCAGTGACAGGACTATAGTTCATTCCATTAATTTCCCTCTTATAAGCTTCCTTGTAGGAAGAGTGACCCTGAAAAGGCTGTTCCCTAAATACAAATGGATGAAGAAAGCCATGTGGTACAAAGGGCAGAGTAAGCTGACACAGGGTGGCACTTGGGTCAAGTTTGCCGCCCAGCTGTGGGGAACATGTTTAGCCGATGGCCTCCAGCTATAGGTCTTTCAAGATCTGACTCAGCATTCGACCTGAAGTCATCCATTTCTCCGGTGGCCTCCACCAATGGCTGAGCAAGGCAGTACAAGGCTAGCCTTTTCTGTCCAGAGCTGGACCCCTACTCCGGAGCTCCTCATTGGGCTGGAAGAGATTTTGTCAGGTCTGCACCAAAGTCTGATAGGTCCCATGGATCAATCATGCTTTTTCCTTTGACTTTTTCTGGCGTTATACCCCGGAAAATGTGCACAGAAAGTTCTGCACTCTTAACTCCATGTCAGGATCTCCTTCCTAGAGAACCCAACCTCTGATGGCACATATTTCAAAATTTTTCATAATGTCTCCTTTTTCCTTCCTACAACTCTTTCAGTCACCATTCTCCCTTTCCCTTTCCCTTTCTCTTTCCTTTCTTTGAGAAAGGGTCTTCCTCTGTTGCCTCAGCTGGAGTGCAATGGCACAATCATAGTTCACTGCAATCTTGAACTCCTGGACTCAAGAAATCCTCCCGCCTCAGCCTCCCAAGTAGTTGGGACTATAGGCACATCCCACTATGTTAGGCTAATTTTTTTAGTAGAGATGAGTTCTTGCTATGTTGCCCGGGTGTGTCTCAAACTCCTAGGCACAAGTGATCCTCCTTCCTAGCCCTCCCAAAGTGTTGGGACTACAGGCACGAGCCACTGTACCTGGACCTTAAATCATTTTTCATGGCTTCAAATTGGAGGAGATTTTATATGTGTACTCCCAACAACTGTAGCAAAAGTAGACTCCTCAGTCTCTCATTTTCTATATTACCATTGCAGCATTTACCCACAAATTCCCTTATTAAAAAAAAAAATTTTTTTTTAAAGAGATGGGGTTTCACCATATTGGCCAGGCTGATCTCGAACTCTTGACCTCGTTATCCGCCCACCCTAGCCTCCCAAAGTCCTGGGATTACAGGCATGAGCCACCACACCCAGCCTAAATTCTCTTATATTTCAACACGTTTTTTTTGTGTCTTCCCAAACATGCTCCTTGAGTGAAGAGACTGTTTCTTTTTTTTTCTTTTTTTTTTTTGGAGACGGAGTTTCACTCTTGTTACCCAGGCTGAAGTGCAATGGCGTGATCTCGGCTCACCGCAGCCTCCGCCTCCTGGGTTCAGGCAATTCTTCTGCCTCAGCCTCCTGAGTAGCTGGGATTACAGGCACGCGCCACCATGCCCAGCTAATTTTTTGTATTTTTAGTAGAGACGGGGTTTCACCATGTTGATCAGGATGGTCTCAATCTCTTGACCTCGTGATCCACCTGCCTCAGCCTCCCAAAGTGCTGGGATTACAGGCGTGAGCCACCGCGCCTGACCCTGAGACTGTTTCTTAAACTTCTGCATTTTCAGAGTGACTAATGTAAGGACCACATAGAGAAGAGTCAATAAACATCCGGAACTTAGTTGATTTGATAATAAAAAATCCCTGGGAACCTGTCAGACCACAAATAAGGCCAAGTGGATTGAAAGACAACTATCGAAGCAGCAGCCAGAGGGAACAAGATGTCCATCTTAGACGTCCTAAGATGAACCTATGCGGGCCCCGTGTTTGGCTGGTTTTCATAAGAAAGTACTCTGTTCCTGAAAGAGGGTTTATCTACCACCAGTGACAAAACTGAGGACAATTCTCATTAATCATTTTGAAGAATTTCTAAGTTGGCAACCAGATTCCATTAATTTTAAAAAATGATGTACGTCTTATCTGATCAATGACCCATCTATTTTATTTGAAGATGTTGAAAAGAAAACCTTTTTTCCTCTTCAACTTGTGTCCTGTGTTTAGGGGCCTAAAAATTACCTGGCAATAGACAGATAAACAGGAGAAAAGACAAAAGTTTATGCAAGCATGCAGGAACTTCCAGTAACAGAAAACTCAAAAGTGAAGGTTTATATACCTCGACTTAACAAAAAGGAAGTTTTTAGGGCTCCAGAAGGAGAGTTTGGAAGCTTCCATTGGGTTGTTTTGTGTTTTTGAGACAAACTCTCAGCTCTATGGCCCAGGCTGGCATGCAGTGGCACAATCCTGGCTCATCGCAGCCTCCTCCAGTGCTCAAGCGGTTCTCCCACCTCTGCCTCCCAAGTAGCTGGGACTACACTTGTGCACCACCACGCCCAGCTTATTTATTTATTTATTTATTTATTTATTTATTTATTTATTATTATTATTTTGGTAGAGAGCTCGCTATGTTGCCCGGGCTAGTCTTGACCTCTTGGGTTCAAACTATCCTCCCACCACCTCGGCTTCCTAAAGTGCTGGGATTACAGGCTGAGCCACCGCACCCAGTCCATTGGGTTTTTTAGTGCTAATGGTAACCGATAGTCTGTCTTCCTGGCAGCTGAATACTCCGAGAGGCTGTTAATAGCGCCATGTTTTCTGGAGGTTCTGCTTTAGTCAGATAAGGGAAGTTCCATTAAGATTTATTTCTACATCTTCTGTAGCTCAAATATTCTCACCTAAAAACAATCTTTATGTCGACTTGGGGGGTCAAAGTGCATCCCCACAGTGGAAAACTCTTGTCCCAATCTCTACAGGAATCAATCTGAAATCTTGGGATATATCTAAGCATGTCCATCGTGACTGACGCATAAGCAGTGGTTCAGGGCACCGAGTTAGCGATTCTAGGTAAGCAAGACCGTGTCAAGAAGTGGTTCATGAGAAGGCAAAAGCGAGGGAGAGTGACAGTCGTTCTTTAAGAGGACGCGGTGGTGGAGAAGAAAGTTGCACATCGGCCTTGAACCGGGCGGACCCCGATCTGGGGCCTGGGGATGTGATTTGGGGGAACTTCGGCGGCATCCGGGCTCCGCTTGATGCCAGTGCGTGTTTGTGTAAGTTACTTCCTCAAGTTCAGGGTGAGGGTAACAATATCTACCGTGTGGAGTTGTTGGGAAGATTTACCGCCAACCAAGGCAGAGCGCACGGCTCGCAGGAAGCGCTCGCTGGGGTCTGCTCTTTCCGGGAATGGGTGGGGTGCGCACTCCTCACAAGGCTCCCAAGACTTGCGTCACGCGCCCCAGTCCGCTGGCTTATAAAACCCTGCCAGAGCCCCAAGATCGCTTTTAGTTTCAGTTCTTTCTGGAGGAGCCTCGCGGGGCCCGGCTGGGGAATCTCAGCTTCGCCGAGCTGGGGGCAGCCCCGGGCGGTCGCCGGCAGATTTACCCGCGCGTCCACGTTCTTTCCACCCAGTTGCCCTTGCGGCCGCTGTAAACCTGCCGCTAGGACCGGGTCGGTGAGATCTAGCCTCTTGACCTGAGAGCCGAGAGCTGGGAAGCCGAAATCCCTGGGCTGGGCTAACAGCTGCGGAGAGCGCGCCCTCGCTGGCTCCGGGCGCGCCCAGCAGGAGCACCGCCCGCGCCCGCCCCTGGACACTTGTAAGTTTCGATTTCACCGCAGCCGAGTCCTGCGCGGCGGCAGAGCCAGCACAGCCAGCGCGCCATGGCGGATCCGGAGGTGTGCTGCTTCATCACCAAAATCCTGTGCGCTCACAGGGGCCGCATGGCCATGGACGCCCTGCTCCAGGAGATCAAGCTGTCGGAGGCGCAGCTCTGTGAAGTGCTGCAGGTGGCCGGGCCCGACCGCTTCGTGGTGTTGGAGACCGGCGGTGTGGCCGGGGTCACCCGGTCGGTGGTGGCCACCACTCGAGCCCGGGTCTGCCGTCGCAAGTACTGCCGGAGTCCCTGCGATAACCTGCATCTCTGCAAGCTCAACTTGCTGGGCCGGTGCAACTATTCGCAGTCGGATCGGTGAGTGTACCTGGAGGGAGGGGCGCTCCCCGCAGCCCGGGTCGGGGAGGTTAGTCCCGGCGCTGTTCTGAAAGGGGCGCGGCCTCGCCGGGACCCCCGCACCCGACGGCTTCTGCCTCCAGCCACCCCCGTCTCTGCGCCTCTCCGGGAGCCCCCGCTGGGCCCGCGCTTCTACCTTTGCGGTTCTCTTCCTTCCGGCACCTCCAGACCTTTTCTCTAGAGTGCTTAAAGCGTTAGTGCCTGGCGGCGACTAGGCTCCCTCCACCCCTTTCCCCGCCCTCAAAAATCAAGAATAAAGTGCTCTGGGGCCAGCCAGGGCCTAGAGAAGCGGGAGGCAGGTTTGGGAAGGAAGGAAAGGGATAGCACTCCTTGGTATCTTGAGTCTTCCCCTCCCTGCTACCTTCTTCCCTAGACGTGGCGGAGTCTTCCCTGTGCCCCAGCCGCACTGGGCCCCGGGTCTGTCTCCTCGGCCGCGAGCCGCAGGTCTCTGCTTGTCCCTCCTTTCTTGGTCACCCGGATGCCCCCCTCCTCACCACTTTTCAGATGCCTGGCGCCCAACAGGCCGCCAACCTCTTCCAGGTTCCCAAAGCTGCAGCAGCCGCCGGCCTTCCCTCCCCGTGGCCTCTCCACGGTGGCGCGCGCGGTTGACCGCCTGCCTTGGGACCACTCACTTCGGTTTGAAGCAGTGCGGCTCACCTCTCGGGCCACTGCTTTTGTTGTATCCATTTGCCTTTTTTTTTTTTTTTCTTGTCTAAATGCAGGTGTGCTGCAAGGTTTGGGTTAATTAAGCCTCTTGATTGATTTTCTTCCCAGTCTCTTCCTAAGAGTGCTTGCTCCCTAGGGGACAGCTGCATGTCAAAAAAGATGGCTTCCAGGTCCACGTTCGCGGCCCAGGCCTTCCCCTTGATCCCGAGCCCTTCCTCTCTTGCGTCTGAGAAACAGCCATGCCCGCTTGTCCTATCCAGAGGGTTAAGCTCATCTTTTTCCCCAGGCGGGGTCTTAATCCTCCTCCTTCACAATCCACAAGTCCTTTTTGTGAAGTCTCTTTCCGTTATTACTTGTGAATGAACTGAATGAATGCCTTGTTGAATTAATGAATGGTTTCTCTGGCCAGTCTTTCCTTCCACTCTTTCTGTCACTATGTGCTTCTGCTCAGTTATTTTTCTCGATAGAGTACTTTTTACACTTGGTCCATTCTTAAACACTCTGAATGGTGTCCCAGGGTTTAAAATGGTGGTCAGCAAACATTTTTTGGGGGGTGGGGGTGGGGGAGACAGCTCTATCGCCCAGGCTGGAGTGCGGTGGCGCCATCTTGGCTCACTGCAACGTCCGCCTCCCGGGTTCAAGCGATTCTCCTGCGTCAACCTCCTGAGTAGCTGGGACTGCAGGCGCCCGCCACCACGCCCGGCTAATTTTTGTGTTTTTAGTAGAGCCAGGGTTTTGTCATGTTGTCCAGGATGGTCTGGAACTCCTGATCTCAGGTGATCCACCTGACTTGTCCTCCCAAAGTGCTGGGATTACAGGCATGAGCCACCACCTCCGGCTGGTCAGCAAACTTTTGATCAGGGACTTAACTAACAAAAAACTCCAGTCACTCACCCCAATATACAGATACTAAAACACACAAAGGTAAGTGTTTTAGATGAATGAGGTAGAGGACACAGTATATTTTTAAAAAAATTTGTTTACAACAAAAACCCTTTCAGCTCACCTAACATTTTTAAAACGTGCTTGGGTGCGTTCTTTTATTTAAATATTTCTTTAATATGGTGTGAGGCGACAACTTGAAGGTTGTTTGTGAGTTGCTGGGAGTATGAGTGTCGAGGAAATCATCTAAGTCATCGCTGGCCACTGAAAAAAATCTCAGAAGAAGGCGGCAGAGGGTGGAGAGTAGAAAAGAAAGGAACGTTCTAGCACGTTCTAGCAATACACTACATAACAGGGTTGGAAGGCTTTTGTTAGTTTTTTTTCTGTTCTTATCTTTTCTGTTATGACAAATCCCTCACCAACTAGTTGACTTTTAGTTTGAAATCCACATGCTTTTTATTTTTTGATTTTACTATGGATGTTATCAACATACTCAAAAGTAGAAAAAAAATGATGAATCTCCTCATACCCATAATTTCACTTCAACGGTTTTCAAAACGTGGCCGGTTTTGTTTCATTTATTCTGTCTATTCCCCATGTGTCCCCAACTCCAAGGTGTTGTTTAAAGCAAATCACGGCAACCATTTAATTACTAAATACTTCAGTATCTCTAAAAGATAACTATATTTTGTTAACAATACAGTACAATGATCACATTTTTGTAAAAAAAATTACAATTTTAATATCATCTAATACACAGTTGATATTCAAATTTCCCTGATTGATAAATCCAGCTTATATTTTCAGGAAAGCCATACACAGACATAATCCATTAAAAATTTTTTTTTCAATTTTTTTACTTTTTTGAGATAGGGTCTGTCACCTAAATCTGAAGTGCAGTGGCCCAATTTTGGCTCACTGCCACCTCTGGCTCTGGGTTCAAGCAATTCTACTGCCTCAGACTCCCAAGTAGCTGGGATTCGAGGTGTTTGCCACCATGCTTGGCTAATTTTTTTATTTTTAGTAGAGATGGGGTTTTGCCATGTTTGCCAGGCTGGTCTTGAACTCCTGAGCTCCAGCGATCTGCCCGCCTCGGCCGGCCTCCCAAAATGCTGGGATTACAGGCCTCAGCCACTGCCTCGCCTGGCCCATAATTGTTTTCATTTGTTATATATCTAACATTTAAATACTTTGCTTCAATTTGTTGTAGGCAATATGCTTAGAAATTTTAGTTTTATGAATTTTATTATGGTATATTTTTGCCTGGTTTGAAACAGCAAAACCGTTTTAAACTCATTAATTGGGTTGTTAACGTCTACTTTTTTTTTTTTGAGGCAGAGTTTCACTCTTGTTACCCAGGCTGGAGTGCAATGGCGCAATCTCAGCTCACCGCAACCTCCGCCTCCTGGGTTCAGGCAATTCTCCTGCCTCAGCCTCCTGAGTAGCTGGGATTACAGGCATGTGCCACCATGCCCAGCTAATGTTTTGTATTTTTAGTAGAGACGGGGTTTCACCATGTTGACCAGGATGGTCTTGATCTCTTGACCTCGTGATCCACCCGCCTCAGCCTCCCAAAGTGCTGGGATTACAGGCTTGAGCCACCGTGCCCGGCCAACTTCTACTTTTATAAGAGTATATATAATGTAGGGATTATATACTCTATGTAAATTTAGATGGACCCTCCAGAGAATTCAATGAAGTTTATTTTTTTTTTTTAGTAGAGTGATAAAATCTTATTTCCTCATGTTTATTGTGCTAGCTATATTTTAAATTTCATTTTATATCACTTTTGAATCTGGGAAACAAACCTTTAATCCATTAATGTATAAAGTGTTCTAATAAGAACCTCTGGGATAATTTTTTGTGTGCGTGTGGCCTCGGATCCTATAAAACATGTTTTTTCCCTCCAAGTATGTTTTAAAAATATTCTCCTCTTACCAAGTTATAAAACTTTGTCTTCCAAAACTTGCCACTTGTGAGTTTAAGGACTTTCTTTGTAGATTACCAGTTAATGGGGTCTGTTAGCTAATTGATACCCATCTTGATGTTTCTATTCAGTTCAGGAAACTGGTCTCTGTTTACAGTGGGGCGAGTTGCATTGTGCTGGATGTATACAATTTTGTCTGTAGTATTATTATTTATAGGTAGTATTTATCCTGTCTATTCTGTAGCTTCTGTCTTTTCTTTTGTAATGCTTTTATTTATACATTTTAGTTGACAATAGGGCTTGCTTCGATGTTGGATAATTGTTTTGGTCAATTGGTTTGGATATTTCTATTTGCTTTGCTGAAATATATGCCCACACATGGAGTTCTAATCCCAGTTCTGATGCAAAACTAATCACCATTTATTGAACAAATAACTGTACCAACCACTATGATAAGCACTTTAGAGATGATATCCAGGTTAGTCTTTAGGATAGCTCCTAAGGCAGTATTTTAAGTCCCGTCCTTATTATAGGAAACTCAAGCATAGAGCCTTTCAGAAATCTACTGAAAGTAACATAACTAGAAGCTGGCAGGATTGGTATTTGAACCCAGATCTGCGTGACTCTTTTGTTTGTTTGTTTCTTTTTTCTTTCTTTCTTTTTTTTTTTTTTCCTGAGACAGAGTCTTGATTTGTTGCCAGGCGCCAGGCTGGAGTGCAGTGGTGCGATCTTGGCTCACTGCAACCTCCGCCTCCCGGGTTCAAGCAATTCTCCTGCCTCAGCCTCCCGAGTAGCTGGGACTACAGGTGGGCATCACCACGCCCAGCTAACTTTTTTTGTGTGTGACGGGGTCTCACTCTGTCACCCAGGCTGGAGTGCAGTGGTGGGATCTCAGCTTGTTGCAACCTCCGCCTCCTGGGTTCAAGCAGTTATCCTTGTCTTAGTCTCCCGAGTGGCTGGGACTACAGGCACCTGCCACTGTACCTGGCTAATTTTTGTACTTTTAGATAGTATTTTGCCATTTTGCCCTGGCTGGTCTCAAACTCCTGGGCTTAAGCGATCTTCCCAGCCTCCCAAAGTGCTAGGATTACAGGCATGAGCCATCGCTTCCAGCCTGCTTGACTTCTTAACTAGCTACTTCCATTGTCCAGTAACTATATGAAGCTATTAATTCAAAAATTTGTTTGCATGCATGATTTCTGTTTAACTGTTTAAAGCAGGCTGCCTGAGCGTCTTTACCTTGCTTTGTGGTTTCTGCCAATTCGGGTGTTTCCTCTGGGTTCTTTCCTGTTTGTATGCCTTTCCCTTTTGGTTAGTTCACATTTTGGGTGGGGGTGGGTAGATGGGAAGAGCACGAGTTGACTATTTCGAAAATTGGATAGAGTACTGAAAAACGCAAAGTATTTACTGTATAACAAGCATCAGAGTATATTTATTCTGAACCTATAACAAATTGTACCTCCTAGAATAAATAAGGGCTCACATT